AATTTCTCAGTTTTTAATGAGCTATCTTTTACTTTCTTTTTTTTTTATTTGCCAGGGTGAGGTGAGTTCTTTTTTGCTAACTTAAAACTTATGCAAATTTACATTATTTTCATTCTCATATTTGTGATTAAACAGTTTCAAAATCATATTTTTGATATTTTACTACCTATAAACTTTTGGAAGAAATAGTTTCAACAATTAAGCGTATACCCTTTGGAGGAAGCTTACTATAAAGCTATTATAAATCTCCAAAACTAAGTATTGATTTGGCACAACCAATGGAGAACATCAATAAATTATTTTACTAATATTTAAACTTATTAGGATGCTTTTATATTTTGTCTGGCACTTATTTCAAGACATATATTTGATCAAGTTTATTTATATTTAAAAAATAACACTTATAGAATATTTCTAAAATCTTCAAACATTTCTAAAACGTACTGGATCAAATACAATTTTCTTTTTATACCAAATATAAACATTTCTATAATCACACGTATAAAATATTTCAATATTCTTCAAACATTTCTAAAATATATCGGACCAAATACAAAATTTTTTTCTAGATACAAATATTTCTAAGATCTACAGATATATTGGGCCAGGAATGCGCGACCAGACATCACTAGTATATGTAGATATAGATAGATAGGATAGGATATATAGATAGATATAGATATATAGATAGATTTTTTGATTTTTACATATGTAGGATGTCCACCTACCATCGGCGATAGTAATAAATCAGATTATTTCGAATAGCTAAAATTTGACCCACGTAAAAGAAACTACACAAGTAAACAGATGTTACCACATAATACCCTTTCACTAAAACGTCCAAATTAAACTCAAGAAACCATTATTTAAGAATTTGGCGAAATTAACGAATTGCTTACACAAATTTAAATTTTAAACTGCAAATGTCTTCCCTACTTAATCAATTCAAACTAGAATCCCCACGAAAAAAGAGCTCCCACTTGACCCGTTGATACAACTCTTTTCTGTTTGATAATTCAAATATATTTCCTTGCGAATGAATTTAATCCACGATTGATTTCACCTCAACTTCTTTTTTCTTGGGGTCCAAATCCTAAGAGTCTCAGGATAACTATTTATAATTCATTTTCACAAAGAAAATTTTGACGAATGTCAAAATGGTTTGCATAATACACGAATTTTGGTAATTTGAATTACCTTTTGTCAGCTTTCTCAGCTTCCCAAGCGGCTTGGGATTTGACGGTCCTGTTCAGTTTTGAACCAAGAGAAGACATTTCGCATGACTGTTAGAAGCTCCATCTAATTTCGACATCTCCGAGTTTCCAACCTGTTTTGTGAAAGCATGTCGTCTCTCCATCAAAAAGACGGCTCCTTCATCTAATAATTTTCTGCCATAGCAAGGTTTCTTGAAAAAACATCTAGGGAAATGCTAATGTAAGGGATGTTAACTAACTTATATATCTAAGCTAAAAGATAGAGAGAAATGCTAATTGGCTAAGTCAAATAAAATGAAAACGGAATAGTTGCATAGTGAACAAACTAAAACTAGTTTTTGCACCAGGGCCGTTGCCCGGGTGTAGACAAAATAATACATAACTAAGAAAAGTAAAAATGTACAATTTCTATTTTTCTTCATGCGTTGTTTTGGTTGAACACAAATATTTTTTTTATCTTTGGCATTTTGTTTTAAATGCAACATTAAATAAGTTTGCACTACTCGATAAATCACGTATCTATAAACACCAACGTCATTCTCTATCAATCAAGGGATTTCATAGAAGCAAAAAAGGACAACCAACTCAATCATATACATATCAAGTTTGCGCCATAACCTTAAATGTATGGTTTTGAATTTTTCTTCAACCCCTTTATGTTCCCCGCCTGTAATCCCCTATTTCTTAACCGGTTGGATATTGATTGATAATAAGTATTGCTAGAGCATAGAAACACACAAAAATCCAGAGCATTTACCATTGTAATCACCATTGTTCAAGTTAATTTATCATTATTTAACATACCAATATCTACCCAGTCGCAAAAACTTTAAAAGATTATTTAAATCAAACCCAAGGTCTAGATCTTTACGTAAGCATTTAAATCCTAGTCCAAACAAATAAATTTTAGAAATGTAGCTTCATGATCTTACCGGGGCATAAAGCAATCAATAAAACCGAAACAGAATAAAGTACCACCACTAATTAATTAACTGGAGTTAAAAATTTAACGAATATCCTAATATAACATGTTTTTAAAAAGTTTGGGATGTAAATGGCATGTTCTTAAACTTTGAGATGTTTTTGGATGGTGTGGCCCAAACTTTAGGATGAAAAGACCCATTGTCCCATTAAGGTTATTAGACACTACAATTTAATGTAATTTTTCTCTAAAAATTATTTAATTCATTAATGTGATATTGAGTTGTAAAGAAAATATACCATCAGATGTTTTCCAACCTATTCATAACCCGAAAATAAATAAAAAATTTTAAAAAAAGAAAACCTCTCAACCCTCGCCTTACCAATAGATCTCGTCTAAATTTTACGGCTGCCACGGCCCTTGTTTTCTCTTCTACTTTGGCTTTAACAAAGTTAGTTCTTGATTGTGCAGGTTAGCTTCTCCAAAGTTCTCCATCATGTTGATATATCACTAGATTTTTCCCTCAATTTTGGTGGAATTTTTTGTTTATTGGATTTAATTCTGTTCGCTAAGATTTGAGATAATTTGATTAGAGTTTTTCTTTATTAGATTGAGGAAATTAGTGGGTATAACTACTGATTGTTTCTTTTACTCAGGGCTGGAGATTGAAGATAGAGACAAGAAATAGATCAATTTTTGAGGGAAGGAAAAGATTAACTTCCTTGGGCAAGCCCGGATTTTTCAAAACTAGAGGTAGTCAAAACTCTAATAATGTCCGATTTTCATTTTGTTTCCTGCAATTTTTTTCTTTCAGTTTAGTGTATGCGTATGCTTTTTTTTTTTACTGTTTTCTTTTTTTTTTTTTTTGGGTTTGAGAATAGTTAGGGGATGGTAAGCTCTGTGCGCCTTTGAGTGGTTTGGGCTCTAATTGATTTCATTTTTGTTAAAGTATCATTTGTCTACTATTTATTTAATAAGATGAGAGAAGTCAGTGATTAAATGGCAAAGGCCAAAGTTTTGATTTTACTATTAGAATGAGTAATGTGCAAAAGATTAGTTAATTGCATTGGAGTTAAGTAGCGAATTGTAGGAGTTGAGCAAAGGAACATACATGAATATTTACAAGAAGGTCAAGTACATTGCTAACTGTCTCTAAGCTGCACAAGTATAGGCGGCATTATTGTATGTACATTCTTCTTTTGGTCATAGATAAAAATTGCATAATAGTATGTGTGTAAAGCAATTTTCTTTTCAAGTTTACGTTTACGTTCCTGCTTCAATTTTCAGAAAATGAATTCATTTGATGTTGAGAAGCCATTGCTTGGCCGGGAAAAAAAATGTATTAAGTTCTAGGGAATTGGCTACGTATGTGTATGTGCAAAGAATACCTTTTCTTTATTTATTTTACTTTGTCAAAGATATCTGTTTCAAGTTTTTATCTTTCCTACTGTTGTAAAATATGGCTTAGAACACCTTGCTTAATCTTATCAAACAGAACAACCATAGCTACGGATGAAGATAAATTCGAGGCAAACAAGCCAACTTCAATGACAAGTACAACGAATACATGGGATAAATGATGAGGTGTGATCGTGGATCAAATTCCCAAGCCAGAAAGAAGTCAAAGTCCTAAGGTAAAAAGAAGGCCAAGGAGAATTTCTATAAGTGCTACTGATTTTTTTTTTTTCAATTTTATGTAATAGGAGAAATATTTTATAGTTTACAGCTTAGTATTTTTAGAACTTTGAATGTACAAAATTGATGATTAATACAAAATTTATTCAATTATGAAGTTTCAATATTAAAGTCCCCGTTACATTTTATGTTGTCAATTCAATTTCTTTTTACTTTTATTTATTTTCTACATTTAGCCTACAAAACGCTTATTATTATTATTATTATTATTATTATAACAATAATTATTATTATTATTGTTTTAATTATGCCTACGGTAATAACTAAATATTTGCAAAAGGCATTGTAAGCCTATTATAAAGACATTTAAAAATGTCTTAATAGTTCAAGACTTATTGCCACTTTGGAATGCAAGACAAATGTCCCCACTATCTTATTATATGATTTATTATTTTGTTGAATATAATATTGGTATAAGAATATTTATACTAATGCTGTTTTTCAGTTAATATGCGATTAATGTAGTTTCATTTTGTTAACCTTTAACCGTGTAAAACAATATAGTGAAAAATTGAATAAAAGAGTAATATTGAAAATTTTATGACATCTATAGTATTATACTAAGAGAGAAATCAGAGAGAGAAATCAAAAAATAATTTCTAGAGTGCCAAGTAAGCAAAAATCCTACTAGGTATTTTTATAAAAAAAATGTCACAAAAAAAGTTTATGCAATTACACTACAAGTCCTTAGTATTTTATGTAAATAAATAAATTTTTTACACTTAATGGACGGTCAAAATTGTTTCAAACTAAATAATCAACATTAATAAGTAATCAATGTCGTGAATTGAATGAGAGAAAAAATGAAGAAAAAATATGGGATGATTTGACACGATTTTTGAAAGTATTTATTTCCCATCGAAAAAAAAAATTATTGTAGCAGATAGGTAACCCCATCAAATGGGCTTGTAAGTATGTGAGAACTACACTTACATCGAAGTTTCACAATTGAAACATAGGAGATAGGTATCCCCATTGAATAAGCATGGCAGGGCAGCCTTTGGTTCAGATGGAGCTGAGATATGAAGTTAGGATGCCTGCGACCGAGGGTTGTGCAGAAATCATCATCATCATCATCATCATCATCATTATTATTATTATTATTATTATTATTATTATTATTATTATTATTATTATCATCACATGGTCCGTATGCTATTGTGGGGGCTATGTTGGTCCTGCAAAGATGGAGGCCGGAGATGTTCTTCAGGAGGCTAAGAGTAACACATGTGTTGGTGTGGGGTAGAATGAGTGGGGTGCCATTTGAATACTATGATAGGGAGGCGATTCAGATGCTGGGTGGTGTCGTGGGAGGAGTTGAGGAGGTGGGGATTGATGGATGGGAAAGGTGGGAAAAAGGTTATCTTTGTGCTAGAGTTTGGGTAAGGATAGATGATCCAATTGTCCCAGGTTTTTATACTCAAGTGGAAGGAGGACGCAAGGTGTGGATATACTATGAATATGAAAGAGTCCACAAGATCTGTCAGAGGTGTGGCCGGATTGGACATACGGCGCCTATTTGTCCGATTGAGGATGATGCAGAGCTTAATCGGTTCCTGCATCGGAATTTTGTGCGAGATGCAAAGGCAATGGGACTTCCCCTACATGAGGAATCAAGCTTTAAATTATATACAGCGGCAATTCAAGCCCACAGGCATATGCCAAAGAGAAGGTATACATGAGTTCTGGAGTGGTATGTCCAGGAATTTGATGTGCGTTATATGCAGAATCGAGTTGGCAACATTTGCAATGGGTTCCGGTATGAGCTGATGGTGGACAGGGAGGAGGAAGGGCGCAACCTTTTGCCATGGAGGGAGAAAGGATCTCAGATAGTGGAAATGCATCCAGATGAGATTGGCCCGAGTAACAGGGGAGCAGGTTCAAGAGTTGAGCAGGAGACGGTTAGACAGGATCACTTAAGAAGGCCGCATGAAAGAAGTCATCAGCGACGGAACCCGGGGGAACAAGAGGAGTGACCTTACTAGCCGAATGGGGTGGCCAACAGGGAGGCATTTGAAGAGAACAGGGAGGGACCAGCTGTGCAATTAGATGGCCAGGCTCTGCGAAGATGGTTAGGGGTGGAGCTAAGCCAGAACTTAATCATCTTAACCCTGAACGATGGTACGGTAGTACAAAATATATTTGGGTCACCAGTTGAACACAACCCAGCTAAGATGCATGATCAGGGAGGCCCAAGTGAGGTTCTGCCATTGGATTAAGAAGTCATCAGTGACGGAACCCGGGGGAACAAGAGGAGTAACCTTACTAGCCGAATGGGGTGGCCAACAGGGAGGCATTTGAAGAGAACAGGGAGGGACCAGCTGTGCAATTAGATGGCCAGGCTCTGCGAAGATGGTTAGGGGTGGAGCTAAGCCGGAACTTAATCATCTTAACCCTAAACGATGGTACGGTAGTACAAAATATATTTGGGTCACCAGTTGAACACAACCTAGCTAAGATGCATGATCAGGGAGGCCCAAGTGAGGTTCTGCCATTGGAGAATGTGCAAGACTCGCTGCCGGAGTGCAGTGCCAGAGGATGATGACGATCAGGTGATGATGGATAATAATGAACAAATGGGACTGACACTGTATGAACAAGATGAGATGGTGTTGGAAGAGAAGTTTGAAATGATAGAAGGACAGAAGAATATCCCGTGGCCGGCACCGACGTCGTGGAAGAAATTCAAGATGCCGGAAACTCTACCGGAATTACCAAACTGGTGGCAACCAGATTTCTTCACAACTTGTGGACGGGAATTTCGAGATGAGGACGGGTGCATTAAAGAGATGAGTAATGACAGGCGACAGAAGTGGTTGGAGAGGAGGGGAGTTCTAGGACATGAACTTAATATGGGATTGAATGTGATAGAACCTTTAAAGAAATGTAATCTAAATGGATATGAGGTGACGGAGAGGCATACACAAGGAGTTTGCAACGAGAGTGGAGTGAATGATTGTCAGAAGATTTTTTCGGGGTTGGGTGACCAGAAGATGGACATGGATGAGGAACTGGAAAGGCTATGGGATATTGCAAGCCACATTTGGAAGAAGGATGGCCCAAGAGGAGCTAATTTGGATACGGCAGGTTTGGGCATGGCTGGAGAGAAGCCCAAATTGAGCGGTTAGATAAGACCAAATGAAAATAAGGGGGTGATCATTCGGGATGGAGCTTATAGAATGTCGGTTGATAATTTGGAGGAAGAGGGGGACGTGGGCTTGGATGTGGACGCCCATCAGATGAGGAGGTTGCGGCCCAGAAAGCAGGACTGGATGAGGAAGAAATAAAAAGGAGAAGGCAGATAAGAAGGGGAAAGAGGGCCCTCAACAAAAGTGGAAGAGGGATTAAAAGGCCCAATGATCCTGGCCCAAAGATGAGGAGAAGGCATGTTCCACCCGTAAAAGACTGGCCTACCCTCGCAGGGCCCATCGAATTAAACCAACAAAAGAGGATCACAATTTAAATGGGCTCAGGATCTGGAAGTCAACAAAGCCCCATAACATTAAGGGCCTGGCCGGAAGAGGATGAAGGCATAAAAAAAGCAGTGAAACAACGGGCAAGAACTCTCTTTGTGAAATGGGCCAGGAAAGTAAAGGGTAAACTTAAACAATAATGTGCAAGGACCCAACTAGGGGGGTGGTGGAACCGGGCGGGTCTGGACTACACCGGAACCAGTAGGGCAAAATGTCTTCTGTTACGGGTCGGGTTGTTGAGAACCGAGTTTGCCGAAGTTTGCAGAATGGGAGAGGAATCCGACAGGGAGCAAGCGGAAGATCTACGTGCAGGGAACATGGCTCGACATTTAGGCGAAATGGAGGATAAAGGATTGGAGGACCGAATCAAGGGAGGGTGAGAAGGGCCTGGTCAGAACCCACGGTTGGGAGGGCATCGGCGAATGAGAACAGGGAAGCTATGGGATCTAGGCCGGCAAAACTTTGGCGGTGTTTCAGCTGGAACGGAGAGTGGGTGGGGCGGTCTCTTCATCAGAGTGGTGAGGGAAGGGTGGTACAACTGGAGCAAAGGCGGGAGGTTGAAGGCCGAAGTGGGAATAGAGGGCAACCTGTGGATGTGGTGGGGGCTGGGGTTGATCTTGTAATACCCTCTGTATCCATTCGAGCTATTTTCAGGAAAAGGAAGTTGTGTGTCTTGCTTGAGGAGCATCAGATTGGGAGAAGAAGGATTGGGGACTAATTGTCGACTGAAGAAGTGAGGAAAATATTGGGCAGAGGAGAAGAAGACACTTCGGATAGCGAGACAGAGGAGATCACGGATGCCATTATTGCCATGGTTATAATGTCAGAGGTAATAGAAATAGTTCTAAACTCCCCTAATGTTACTATTGATGGGGTTGGGGTGGCTGTCCCACAACAGCCACCACAGCAGCCATGAGGATATTCTATTGGAACTGTACGGTGTTAGGTCAATCCTCTACAGCTCAGTTTCTTAAAAAAATTAATGTTGTACATAGGTCTAGTATTTTGTGTCTACTAGAGACTAGGTGTAGTAGGAACAAGGTTAGTAAACGGCTGCGAACCACACATTTTGTAAATTTGGAGATAGTTGACCCATTTGGTGTAGGAGGTGGCATTTGTGTAGCTTGGGATGGTCAGGCGATGGCTTCAATCTTGTACGCATCACCAAATTTTGTACTCCTAAAAATCTCCCAAGCGGATGGTAATGAATGGTTTGCGGGGTTTGTGTACGGGCATCCGTCCACTCATAAGAGACAGGATGTGTGGGATGAGATCGAGAGGGTGGTTTCCTGTTATAACGGGGGATGGTCTTGATGGGGGATTTTAATCAAGTCATAAAAGGAAAATGAGAAGTGGGGAAGGATAAGACCGGATAAGAAGTGCAGGGGATGGCTTAAAATGATGCTTAATGGGCTGCAAATGACTGAACTAAGGAATAAAGGTGTATGGTTTACGTGGTCGAATGGCAGACAGAAGGGCCAGGAGGTCAAGGAGCATCTTGATAGGGCTTTTGCTAATCCGGCATGGTTCAACATGTTCCAAAATGTAGTTTTAGAAAACCTACCAATTATGAGATCGGATCACGGGCCCATTATAGTTGATTGTGTACTGAGAAGGCTACCACAAAACAAGATCAGGAGATTTTAGGGGTTTTGGACGGGATATGAGGCGGTGAGATAGATTATAGAGAGATGTTGGCAGGGGAGGAGAATGGGTGGGTTTGGAATGGAACTCTCATCTTAGATCTTGGAGTCCAATAAGGTGGTAATAAAGCATCTCTGGAATTGGCATGTTCAATCGGTTGGTGCACCAGATAAGAGGGTCAAAGATTTAATGATGAGAATCGAGAAAGGGCAGGTAGGAGGTTCATCCATGTGGGAGGAAAGACGGAATCTGGATAGAGCTCTGGAGGATCAAGCTAGGTTCTGGCAGCAAAGGGCAAAGGTGACGTGGGCGAAGGAAGGGGAGACAAACACAAAGTTCTTCCATAAGTGGGTCCAGAGGAGAAGAGGAAGGAATTACATAACTCAACTGCGAGGTCCCAATGGAGAATGGATAAATTCCCAGGAAGAGATCAGGGAGATGGTTGTAACTCACATTAAATCGGTCTATGTCGAGCAACCAGAGAGAGTGGAGGAAATAAAAGAGACATATCCTCTAGATCACGTGCTAAACTTCATAAGTGGAAGGCTATAGGACTCTGAAGTGAGGTCCCTGGTGGCGAAAGTTAGGGCTCAAGAGATCAAGGAAGCTGTCTTCACTATGGGCAAATGGAAGGCACCGGGTTTTGATGGGATACCAGCAGGTTTCTATCATCAGTATTGGAATATAATTGGGAATGAGGTGGTGAGAGCGGTCCAAGAATTCTTCCTTAGTGGGATAAGGAATGCGGAATGGAATAGAACTTTATTGGTCCTGATACCAAAGAAGGAAAACCTAGTGGAACCGGGTGACCTTCGACCAATAAGCGTGTGCAATGTGTTGTATAAAGTAATTGCAAAGGTATTGGTCAATAGGCTGCGAAGGGTATTGGACGGGTTAATAGCGGAGAATCAGGCGGCCTTTGCCCCAGGGAGATCGATTACGGAAAATGTCCTCATAGCACATGAGGTGGTGGAGCATATTAGAAAGAGGAAGAAGGGTGACAAGAGTTTCATGGCCCTCAAGTGAGATATGAGTAAGGTATATGACAGGGTTTTTTGAGAGTTCTTGCAGAGAGTAATGGAACGGATGGGATTTCCAGAGAAATGGGTCCGATGGGTGATGCAATGTGTTACAACAGTTAAGATGGCAGTGTCTTTACAGGGAGAAGTGTCGGAAGAATTCAGACCCAACAAGTGATTGAGACAATGGTGCTCTCTGTCACCTTTTCTGTTCATATTATGTCATCAGACTCTGTCAGTAATGTCGAATGGAGAGGCATTTCTGAGACTCGGGAAAGGGGTCCGGGTTTCCAGAGGGGGCCCGACGGTTTCCCACCTCATGTTTGCAGATGACTGTGTTATTTTCATGGAAAACTCTGTATAGAGCGCAATGGAACTGGCGAAGATATTAAAGATTTTCATGGAATATGCGGGCCAAAGGGTGAAGTTCCAAAAGTCATCATTGCTACTAAGCCCCAATACAAATAAACAGTTTTGTACGTACTTATCTATAATGTTTAATGTGAATAGGAGGATGTTAGATGGCAAATACTTAGGGTTTAGTTTAGATTTTGGCAGAGGGAAAGAGTACATATTTGGGGAATTAAAAAGGAGGATTAGAGATAGGATAAAGGGTTGGAGGGTAGAGGACCTCCCGATAAATGGGTGGGTGGTGCTAGCAAAGCATGTATTAGGAATGATGGCGAACTATACACTTGGACCTTTCAGGGTTCCAGCAGCAAAGGCACACAGGATTGATCAATACTTAGCATGTTTTGCATGGAAGGGGGATGTGGAGAGTAGAGGGAGAAATCATGGAGGAATATATGTAAGTCTAAGTGGCGAGGTGGTTTGGGGATGCGCAGAATGGAAGACAGGAATAGAGCGTTATTGGGAAAGCTGGCCTGGAAAATTGGATTTGATGAGAAATTGTTTTTTGCATTCTTAGAGCGAAGTATTGTGGCAGCCGTGACTTCTGGGAAGTTAATAAAATAAGTAGAGCAACATGGGGATGGAAGGGTATTTTGTGGCGAAGGGATTTAGTCAAAAGAGGTGTGAAGTGGGAGGTTGGGAATGGAGAAACAATAAGGGCATATTAGGAATGGATACCTGGCGTCCATAATCCTTTAGCTCAACGACAGAGACAAGGTTAAGAGTCTAGATTGAGGGTGGCTGATCTCATGTAGGATTCAAGGCAGTGAAACATGCAGATATTGTTGGCCATATTTCCTTGGGAAGTTTTGCCAATATTTTGGCAGTCCATGTAGGTGAAAATAAGAGCTTAAGGTGGGACAGGATGGTCTAGGGCTTAGATCTTAAAGGGAAGTTTTCGGTAACGTCTGCATATCATTTGGCTATGAATTCAGCGGAGGAGGGAAAACCGTCGACATCGAGGAATGGGGTTTCTGCAGAAGAAGAAGAAGAAGAAGAAGAAGAAGAAGAAGAAGAAGAGGCGTTCTGGAAAAAGTTCTGGGGACTCAAAGTACCAGGGAAGGTGAAATTCTTATTCTGGAGAGCAGCAGGAAATGCCTGCCCAACCATGAAGGAATTATGGAAGCGTGGAAGAATATGTCCTCCCATATGCCCAAGGTGTGGAGCGCGAGAGAAGACAACTGAACATATGTTATTTGAATGCATGGAGGCACAAGTTGTGTGGCGTTTGTCCCCATATGGTTTCGACATCACCCAAGGTCAGCAATCTAGTTTTAAGAATTGGTTACAGGGATGGTTTAAAGAGGCGCCATCGGAAGAGGACAGGTTGAAGGTGGTGTGTGTCATCTGGGCAATATGGGCTGCTAGAAATAAGAGGGTTGGGGAGAAGAGGTTGCTGAACCAGAGGAAGTTTTACAGGAGGCATGGAGGTTGGCTGGAAGTTGTCAGGATACTTTGCGGGAGGGTGATACGATTCAAAACTCGATAGAAGAGATCTATGACATCTGGCTGAAAGGATGTGATGGAGATCTATCCAGCCATAGGCTGGCGACAAAGTTGAAGGAAATTTTAAGTTGATGGGTCATTTCGACAGAAGCAGAACAGGATAGCGGGACATGCGGTGGTGGCAAAGGACCCAGCAGGTGAGATCTTACTTAGGAAGTCGAAGGTTTATGGTGCGATGGATTCCACTCAGGTAGAATTAATAGCAGTATGGCAAGTTCTTAGAACCGCAGTTGAACAAGGCTGGCAGTATGTTAGGATACTTACGGCTAGCAGTAGAGTGATAAATATGTTACGAGGACGGGAGAGTCCTCAAATATGGTATGCAGGTTTGTTAGAAGATGTCAGGAATAGAGTACAAGGTCTACTCTTATGTAATATCTGTAAGGTTGGTAGGGATAGAGTGGGCATAGCTCACAAAATTGCGACCAGTGTAACTCTTAATAGCTAATTAAGTATCAATTTAGTTTTCAAAAAAAAAAAAAAACTAGATATATCTTGCCAAGGTACCAAGTGACACTACAAAAAAATTAGGCTTTTGTGACAAACAGATTCTGGTCACTAAAATAGCTATTGGTGACCATCACTAAAGGCCTTTGGTGACAAACTGGTGACCAACTCTTAATAGGTCGACTAAGCCTCGTCGCGAAAGGCCTTTGGTGACCAATTTCTGTGAGCGAGTGACCATGGGAATAGTGGTCACCTATTCTGTTGGTCACCAAAATTTTGATGGGCAGCCTGGGCAGCAAATTTTGGTGACCAAAGTTCTGACGGCTCGATTGGTCAAAAATTTGTGACCAGTGATGCGTGACCAAGTAGTTAGTCACTAAATAATAATATTTTTTTTAAAAAATAGTTTTATTGACTAAATTGGTGACCACCGTATTAGTCCCAAACATGAGTTTGTCACTTTTCTATAATATGTAATTATAATAAATGACTAAAATTAACCAATAATCAAACTACACATTATATATAAAATAATTTCTCAATTAAAAATACAAAACTAATCTATTAACTCTAAAAGAATCAAGTACACTGCCTACTAGAGTTGAGCCATACTACAAGTTTAAATAAACCAAGTATACTATCGTCACATTTTTTTGCCTGCATTTCATTCCTACAAACTTCAAGCTGTCTC